TTGTCACTTCCCAATATATCCCCACACCATAGAACCCTCTCTTCCTAACAAAGAAAAAGTGTTAAACCAATCAGTCCCCAGAAAGCATATGAACAGTCTGCACCTGTAAGCCACCACCACCTCTCTCTACCCAAATTGGTAAAGAGAGTGTGTCTCTCTGTCATTTTTTTTGCAGGGGGAGGGAAGATTTGACATTGCATATAGTTTGAATTTTGTTATCTTTTGCTATTGCTTTCATTTATATTATCATAACTTCTGTGTATTGTTTTCCTGGTTCCATTTTCTTCGCTCTGCACCACATCATGCAAATTTTACTGTGTTTCTCTGAATTCCTTATATTTGTTGTTTCATATAATGTAACATTATTCTAATACATTCATATACTTCATTTTGTCCAACTATTCCATACTTGATAGACCTATACTTTTCAAATTTTAAAGGCATATATTCATTATAGGACCATCAAATCATAAGAAATGCAAAAATTATATTATTTGTAATCATAAGGATTATTTGATGGAGCATTTGGACAGCAGTACAGAAAAAAAGAAAATTCAAATTCAAAACTCAGGTCCATACTAACACTCCTTTCTGTATTCAGAGAAAAAGGAACTGAGGATTGTAAATGGGTGTTGGGCTGTGAGAGCTAGAGGCCAGTACCAACAAACTTCCACATGAAAGCCCACCTAACCCAACTACCACTGAATTACAAAATGTTAGAATAAAGTCTAATCCCTTCTTTTTAAAGATCCCTTCTAATCCCTCCATTTTAAAGATAATAAAAGGGATTCTATTTGCCTCTGTTTCCTTATTTGTAAAATGAGGATAATAATATCACCTCAGGTTAATATCAACCTCTTAGGGTTGTGAGGATTAAATGAGGTAATACTTGTAAGTGCTTATACCAGTATATGGTACATAGTAAGAGTGATACAAATGTTAGCTATCATCATTATTATCATCAATAATAATTATCATTATAATTGAGGTTATAAAGGTAGAGGACCACCTATAAGTGAGATTGAAATATACTTCTACAGACTGGTTCTGAAGCAGACTTCAAAAGTACCAGGAGAAAAACAATGTTATCAAACAAGGACAATAAAGTGTCGGTATTCTTACAGCATCATTTTCATTTAAATTGATGTGCACTGATCCTCTTTTAACTATCACTGTCACTTCCCTATGACTCCCTGCCTCAGTCCAACAGAAGCCTACAAAGTACTGGGGAGGTATTTAAAATAATCAAGACATTGACCATATCTGACAACTGATGTCTCACTTTGACCTATAGTTCACCACTCCTTTACCAAGAAAAGGGTTTTTTTTTTTGTGTGTCAGTCATCTGAAGTCCAGACCAGCAATTGCATTGACCAAAGTTCTGAGGTCTTTCGATGTTTTCTTTTATGTGTGTGTGTACATTGTGCTGACTGTTCTCCTGGTTCTGCTTACTCTGCTTAGCATCAGTCCACAAAGTCTTCCCAGATTTCCCTGATGTGTGCTGTTTTTTTTTTTATAGCAAAGTTTTTCATTACATTCAGGGGTGCACTGTGTACTGGCAACAGCTCATTGCCGGTTCCTGAGAGATGACTGTTAAATTTTCACTATCACCATTTACATCTCAGAAATCAGCAAAGCTGCAAATCAGTTCTTGATTTATTGTTTTTTGATTGTCTAGACTTAAGAAAGTAAAGGAGATGTTAATAATGAAGATTAAACTTAAAAGTTCATTGTGTCAATTTTTTTCCCCTTAGAGAACTGGTTGTTAAATATTTACCTCTATAACCATGATTCCTTTCTTTCTTTCTAAGTGATTAATTAATCATGTCCAATTCTTTGTGTCCCCATTTGGGGTTTTCTTGGCAAAGATACTACAGTAGTTTGCCATTTCCTTCTCCAGCCCATTTTACAGATGAAGAAACTGAGACCAACAGGGTTAAATGATTTGCCTGGGGTCACACAGTGAGTGTCTGAGGCTGAATTTGAACTTAGGTCCACTCTTTCTACTCTGTCACCTAGCTGCCCTATGGTTACATCTATACAATACCATCTGTTTGACTATTCAACAATCAATGGGCATACACTTTGTTTCCAGTTCTTTGCTACACAAAAATGCTGCCATATTCTTTTACAGGGAAAAGGGACTCTTTTCTCCATCTTTGACCTTTTGGGGGTCTATGCTTGGTGATGGTATCACTGGATCAATGAACATATAAAGGAACTAAAAATTTAGTGCCTTTTTTAGTATAATTCCAAACTTTTCCAGAATGGTTAGACCAACTCACAGTTTCACCAACAGTGCATTACTGTGCCTGTTTTTCCAAAGTTCCGTCCAAGGTCTTTGCCACGTCTACTAATCTAATGGGAGACAAAAACTCAGAATTGTTCTAAATTGCATTTCTCTATTATTAGTGATTTGAAACATCTATTGTTGACAGTGTTGTTGACAATGTGTCTTTCTTCTTTCGAAAACTATCCATTTGATCCATGTCCTTTGATCACTTATCTATTGGAGAAGGGTTATTATTCTTTTATTTTGCATCACTCCCCATATATCTTGAGTATCAGAGCTTATCAGATATTTACTGGGAAATTTTCCCCCATAATTAATGACTTTTCTTCTGCAATGTTTTTGGTCTTACGAAAGTTTTAAAATTTAACCTAATCCTAATTATGTTTTATTTTTATTATCAATGAAGTCCCTTGTTCCATAATGAATTGTCCCCTTACACATAGTTGTACAAGGTACTGAACTTCCTCCATTCTTCCCTAATTTTGTTTTTGATGTGACCTTTTGTATGTAGGTCACATATCTATTTAGAACTTGATTGATATATGGTGTGAGATGTTGGTCTAAACCTAATTTCCATCAAAATGTTTTCCCAGTGTTTTTTGTAAAAAAAAAAGGGGGGGAGTTCTTGTTAGAGTAATTTGTGGTTTTGGATTTATTGAACAAGAGGCTATCAGGTAGGATTGCATCTGGGCCTTACTTACCTAGTTTTTTCCATTGACTTGACTTTAAATTTTTAAACCAGTACCCAGTAGTTTAGAGAGGCAATATGGTAGAATGGATAGACAGAAAGACCTGGATTTAAATTCTGATGCATGTTGGCTGTGTGAAGTAGGGCCAATCATTTAGCCTCATGGTATTTTAGATGCAGCTCTAGGAATCTCAGTTACTGAGATGGTGCCCCCTAAATTGGTGGAGGAAGTTTCCTCATCCTGGAGTTCTGTAGACCAATGAAATCACAGGTCTAGTCCTCATTCTTAATTCAAATGGTTTGCTGATTGCTGCTTTATACTGTTTGAGATCTGGTAAAATTTTGTTCATTGTTTCCCTTGAAATTCTTGACCTTTTTTGTTCCTGTGTGACCTGGGAAAGTCATTTAAACCTCTTTTTGCCTCAGTTTCCTCATTTGTAAAATGGAGATAATAATAGTGTCTATTTCCCAGGGTTATCAGGATTAAATTGGATAATAATTGTAAAGTGTTTTGGCAGAGTGCCTGGCACATTTTTGTTGTTATTCAGTCATTTTAAGTTGTGTACCACTCTTTGTGACCCCCATTTGGGGTTTTCTTGGCAAAGATACTGGAATGGTTTGCCATTTCCTTCTCCAATTCATTTACAGATGAGGAAACTGGGGCAAACAGGGTTAAGTGACTTGCCTAGGGTTGCACAGCTAGTAAGTGTCTGAGGCTAGATTTGAAGTGGGGTCCTCCTGCTGCCCTTCAAGATGTTAGCCTTATATTTATTAAACATCTATTACCAGGGGAGCACTATTTGTAGGGCTTGGCCTCTGCCCTCAAGAAGTCTATAATCTCCTTTTGAGGTAGAGTTCCTCCCCTTCAGCTTTTCTTTGGGTGTCAACTTCCTCTACTACCTTGCATGAACTGATTGAGTGAAGTAAGCAGAACCAGAACAATTTACATAACAACATTGTAAAGACAAACTTTGAAGACTTAAGAATACCTATGAAGAAACTCAACAGAACTGATGATGAAATATTCTGTCCACCTCTTCACAGAGAGGCCATAGACCTCAGGTGCAGAATGAGCCATAGGTCGTTTTGGGTTTTTTTGGGTCCAATTCAAGTAATTTGCTTGGCTTGACTACGCATATTTGTTTTAAGATTTTTTTGTTTCAATGGAGGGAGGGGAAATACGAGAGAGAGAAAAATATTTTTGATTTTTGAAAATTAAATTAGACTTTTTAAGTGGGGGAGAAAATATTTTTGATAATTCAGAAAAATTACTTTAAAGGGGGGAAAACGTTTCTTGAATGGAAATGCCGCAAAGCCATAAAGTTAGTGTGGGGACCCTGGATCCCCACTTAACTCATTTATCACAAAGGGGGCCGTGCAGGGGGATCTCCGATGCCCCAGTCGGGACAATCCCAAGAAAACCCAAGCAGTTTAGCCACAAGGACCCAGGGGTTCTGATTAACACCTTGCTCATTGAGGCATTAATTAAAGTCAGAGCAGCAATTTCTGGTAACAGGCCTCCCTGCATTTCACCAAAGGGGATTTAACCAAAGCAGGCGAGCCAGAAAGAAAAAAAAAAGCCCCCAATGTGGCTTTGCATTTTACTTAGACACAGACTTAGACGTAGCATCTTGTGACCTTATTTTGGGCACCCTGTCTGCGGATCACTAAAGACAGCACTGGCTTCTGCCACCTACTCAAGCCTGAGCTTCACGCATCCTTCCAGGAATGAAAGTGAATCAAAAGCAGCAGCAACACGTTTAGGGCAAGCGCAACTGCGGCGTCTGCGCGATTCAGGCTGTGTGAATGTCACTGCCTCTTCTCCTCCGCTCCCCTCCCCCCCCCCCCCCCATTCCCGACCGAGCTGCTCTCTGGGAGTTGTAGTTCTGCAACTTGGAGCCGAGACTTCGGCGCCTCGTAGAGTGAGACTACAAATCCCGTGGAAGGGAGCGAGAGTCGTGCCGGGGAGGGGTGCGGCGAGGACCGCGGAGAGGTTAAGGGGGAGGTTTTGCTTGACTCACACGTGGGGGCGGAGAAGGGCCAAGCTTAGAACCCATTTCCTGGCAAAAGATCCCTTTAGTTCAGCTGGTCTCCGGCTAGGGAAGTCCCTAGGCGGCCAATCTCCTGGCGCCTGGAGAAAACCAAAAAAGAAAAAAAAAAAAGAAAAAAGTGTAGAACATCTCCCTCTCTATTATTAATTATTATTATTTATCTTGCGTGTAATCCGTTCCTCCTTAGTGCCTCCTCCCTTTCCTGCTTCTCCTCCTCCTGTTGTAACATGCAATTAGCGATCCTGCAGCCACATTTCCAAGGGTGCTAAAGTGCATTTCGCTTATAGCCACCATGGGGAATGGGATGAACAAGGTAATGTACGTTTCTGTTTGTTTGTGCTTGCTTGTTTGTCTGCTCATCTCGCCTCTTTAGGATTAAGAACTGGGAAAGGTGTAGGAAGCCTTGAATCCTTCCTTCTTAGCCCCTTCCCCCTGGTTTCATTCCCCACTCTGCCACCCTCCACCCTGCATCTTCCTCCTTTAATTGTGCTCAGCCAGTAGTCGGAAAAAAAAGCGTGCTTTGCTTCTTCGTTCAGACAAATGTTTGCATTTTTAAGACTGTTGTAGTTTTTTTTTTCCTAAATACTTTTAATATCTGGTTGGGGCCGGGAGGTGGGTGCTACAAGCGGTGGGGAACGGACCTAGGATGAGACGGATGCTTCTGCAAATTTTTTTTTTTATGGGGGGAGGCGGGTAGAGGTCAATGCTGTTGAAAATCCCCCGCCCTCTTGGGAAGGCTTCCCGGCAAACAGCCCCCGGGCGTTTGCCCTGCACGCTGGATGCCTTCTGTGGCTGAGGACCACTTGTTCTCCCCAACCACAGTGCCCTTTTAAAAGCTATTTACACTTGCTGGGCTAGGACGTGGTTCTGACCAGTCCCCAGCGGGAGCGCGGTGGAGCTGAGAGCTTTGTGGTTCCTTTTCTCTTCTTCCCCTCCCCTGAGAGGCTCTTTAAACATCGCCCACCCATCTGATGGGTCATCTGGGCGTCTTCTCTGAGTCTTCTCTGCTGTCATTTCCTTTATTTCCTTGGGTACCTCCCTAACTTCCACTCCCTTAGAGGTTGTTTTTTTTTTGCATGTGTGTATATGTGGGGGGGGTGCGTGCGCCCGTGCCCTTTCCCTCCCCTCCCCCCATGTGCCTGTAGAAGTTGCATGGGACAGCTGCCTATTAGGCTGGTTGTGGGTGGGACTTTTTTTAAAAGACAGCTGCCCATCTTAGAGGAATCGAATTCAGAATCAGCTTTTTGTCCACAGATTGTGCCAGGGTTCTCCACTATGAGGGAAACCTGTTGTCTTCTCCCTACCCCCACCTTCTCCCTATAGCCCCTCTCCATCCTCCGATTGATGACAGGGGCCAGAAAATCGGAACCTTGCTTGCTTTGGTCTGAATAGGACCCATTTTTCTCCGGCTCGGCTCTTTTGTCTTCCGGCTTGTCAGCCCCACCCTGGGCTTGTCCAGTTTCCCCTTGCCCCACCCCTAGGCGGGTGTTCCTCTCTGGTCCTGTGGTCTGGCTGTTTCTTTGAAGTCTCAGGAAGGTGGTGGAATTCAGGCTCTGCTTTTGCTCCCTGGAAGGATTGTGTTGAACTGGTAGCCAGAAATCCCTTGAAAGGAAACGACCCTTTCCCAGTTAGTCTTACACCCCTGGATAAGTGCATTCATTCCACTTTTCACGCGGTCCGATTAAGTGGAAATTGTTTGCTTAGATTCTGCTGCTTTTAACTCAGGGGCCAGCATCCTTTGGCCCATAAGTGCCACCAGTGGAAATACCAAATAGTGGAAAGGAAAAACAACAAATAGGATCCTAGAATGAGAGAAACAAGCATAGAATGATGAATAGCATAAGTTGTCTAAATACTTTAACCTTCCAAACTAATACCTGGTTTCAGAGACTGTTACTGAGAAATAGTGTGGGAAGAAATCGTTTTGTGTATTTGGTCCAGGGTATCATCACCCTGGTTTTGGTTCAAGGATCACGAATCTAAAGCTGGAAGGGACCTTAGAGATCATGTAGTACAACCCTCTCATTTTAAAAATAGAGAAACTGAGGCTCAGGGTTTAGCAAGGTTGAATTTTGAAAGGAGGGTCTTAACCATTCCAAGTTAAGCATCCTTTCCACTGCATCAGACCTTTTTTTTTTCTCTCAGGAGAACAAGTTTAAATAAGACAGGAATACTTTCTCAAATTGGGATATTCTTTATTATGCCTTTCAGTTCTTTGATTCTCTGCTTTAAAAAAAAAAGTGCTGTCACCAGTTTTTGGGATAGGTTAGGCTTTGAATTGATAGTGATTTCATTCTAGTAGACTTTGGGTTCCAGTTTAAAATGTTTCTTATTTGAATTGCCCCTTGTTGCCTCTGAATATTTAATTGATAGAACTGTTTGTTATGTATTAAAATATATACAGATGAAAATGGATTCAGACATTCTACAAGTTGGTAGTTTTAGTCTGTAGTGAACAGCAGGTTTTTTTTATTTGTCCATTTCTTCCTAAACTTTTTCCAAGTCTGTTATTGTTGTTATTACTAATTTTTCCCAGCAACAGCAGCACTAGGTAAGGACAGTCACCTACATTTTGTAAATGAAGACATAGTGATTTGACCACGTGAATAGTTATTGCCCAAAATGGGATTAGAACTTTCATCTCCTGACTCCCTGACAATGATTCTGTTGGTTAGATCTTTGCTTTAGGTATATCAGTTTGGAGACAGTTTGGAGAGGGGAGAGACTGGAGCAAGGGAGACCACTTAGAAGGCTATTGTAATAGTCCAAGTGAGAGACTCTAATGAGTTTAAACTAGGGTAATGCTTGTGTGAGTAGAGAGAAGGGGATGATGGATGAAGAGATTTTGTGGAAATAGGATGAACAAGATTTGGCAGTTGATTAAATTTGAAAGTACAGGAAGAATTGAAGATGACTCTGAGGTGGTGAACCTCAGTGATTAGAACAGTGGTGATGCTCTCAACAGATGCAAGTTTGGAAGGAAAGTGGTTTTGGATGAGAAGCACGATGAGTTCTGTTTAGGACATGTTGAGTTGGAGATGCCAATAGGACATCCTGTTTGAAATGTCCAATAAGCAGTTGATGATCAAGAGAGAGATTTGGTCTGGAAACACAGATTTGGAATGTAGAAATGATAATTAAACACGGGAAATGATGACGTTACCAAGAGACCATATAGACAGAAAATGGAGGGAATGCATTATCTGAATGTATACCATAAGGGTGCTGTTCTCAAGTCCTCATGCAGACTAGAAGTTAGTAGACAACTTCCAGGAAGTGTATTGGTAGTAATAATAGCTATCATTTATATAATACTTAAAGGTTTACAAAGTGTTATACATGTTATCTCATTTGATCCTCACAACAAGAGAGGAGAGGGAGAGGGAGGAAAAGAGAGAGAGATAAAGAGAGAGAGGGGTGTGTTGTTATGATTTGCCCTGGGTCACACGGCTATGAGAGTCAGCAAGAGGCAAGATTTGAACATTTGAACTCAGGTCTTTCTAACTCCAACACTCCATCTACTGGGCCACCTATCTGCCTAATGATTGATCTTGTTAGAAGTATATATTTGCTGAATATCAAGTTTATTCAAAATCTGTACTGTAGGTAAATACAGTACTTTGTGATAACCCTGGAAAAATCTGATAAGACTGTGATAAGAGTTGAAAGTGCATTGGTCTTGGATTCTAATCTTGGCCCAGATTGTATATGTGTGACTTTGAGCAAGTCACTTTGCCTATCTGGGCCTTAGCTTCGTTGGTTATAAAGAGAGAGGATTAGGCTAGATGGATGGCTAAGGTTACTTCTGGCACTAAGTCTATAATCCATCGACCCCTTCAGTCTCTGAGCATCTGCATGTGAGCGGGATGGCTACTTGAGTAATAAAAATAACTCACAACTTTTAAAGATGTGTAGGGCTTCCTTGAAGCAATCCTGTGAGGTAGATAGTTAAGCTGTTTTTATCCCCATTTCACAGGTGAAGTACAGGAGGCTCAGAGAATTTATTTCTCCTTGGTCACATAGTTGATGAATGGCAGAAACACAGGCTCAGTGTTCTTTTCACTCCATCGTAGGGTGGTGCTTCATTCAGTCCGTGAACAAAGACCTCATGGTCCTCTTATTGCCTAGTTTCATTATTAATCCTCCCCAATCATGGCTGGGCATTGCATCGATATAATTCTTTACAGTTGTTAGTAAAGTTGTTTGTCTTTATGGTATTTTTGTGGTATAACTTATCCTCCTGGGTCTGCTCATTTTATTTTTTCCAAATTGTGCATTTGTATAAGATGAATCCAACAAACATTTGGTTTTTTTGTTTGTTTGTTTTGTTTTGGGGTTGTCTTTTTTTTTTTTTTGGCAAGGCAGTTGGGGTTAAGTGACTTGCCCAGAGTCACACAGCCAGTGAATGTTATGTGTCTGAGGCCAGATTTGAACTCTGGTCCTCCTGACTCCAGGGCCGGTGCTCTATCCGCTGTGCCACCTAGCTGCCCCCAGTAAGCATTTGTTAAGCACCTATTGTGTGCAAGGTTGCACACAACAGTTTGTCCCCCCAAAATGATTGCAGTTGTAGTGTTTTTCATCTGTCCAATTTTTGACACATGGAGTGGTTCTGTCATCCTTAGGAAGATTGGCAGGGTGCAAGGCTCTAGCTAGAGTAGAGACAGAGGAGGCTAAGACATCTTTTCTGGTCGCTGTAGTGCCTAATCCACCAGTCAGGAAAACCTGAGTTCTTGTCTGGGCTGATACTTAGTAACTGTACAACATTGGGTAAGTTACTTAACCTCTGTCTGCCTCCATTTCCTCAGCTGTAAAATGGATATAATAATAGCATCTCTTTCTCAAAGTTGTTCTAAAGAAAAAGTGAGGTATTCATAGAAGGTGAATTGCAAACCTTCAAGTACTATTAAATGCTAGCAATTATTATCTTTATTATCCTTGTTATTGTTACTACTACCACTATAAGCATTCTTGGTTTCAAGATTTTCCTGCTGTAGATAAACTTAAAGCTATTTATGAGTCACAGGAAGACACAGGAAGGAAAAGGGACATATTCCTCTTTGTAACTGTCATGGTCCTGTCAGTGTGGCGTCCCAACACATGGGAGGCCACGTGGTATGGTAGAGAAAGTGATGATGGCCCTGGAGTCAGAAGACCTGAGTTTGAGTTCTGTCTCTGTTGCCTACTAGAGGCTGCTTGTTCCAGCGGATAGAGAGCACTGGGCTTAGAGTCAGGAAAATGTGAGTTCACATCCAGCCTCAGACAAGTCACTTAACTTCTGTTTGCCTCAGTTTCCTTAATTGTAAAATGGGGAAA